ATCAATTCAAGAGGGATGCTAGTATAGTCTTTTTCATTAGAATCATTAGTTTTTATATACATATTTATTATTTATATCAAGAAAACAACTATAAATTTTTGTATAATCATAATATAAATAGCTTTTTATAAATTGAGATTATAGTTAACAATAGCAGATGTTATAGAATGTATATCAAAGTTCTTCCAATTTAATGAAAGAAACTCTTATAAAAAGAGGACATTCAACAAAATTAACATAGTGGACAATAGTTTGAATTTTATAAGTTTTTAGAATTATTAAAAATTTATATAATTATTAATTTTAAAATATATTAAATTAATCAAGTCCTATACAAGTTACCTCAAATATTCATATTAATAATAATAATAAAATTCTTTGCTTTGACTACAATGCTTGCTTTCCAGAACGCGAGAAAACATGGCAGATGCAGATGAATAAAGTTTCAAGATCTGGGGAGGAAAAGGATGAATGACGGATATGGGAGGCTAGGGAGAGTGTTGGCGACTGTTTGTCAAGAGAAAGGGGGAATAAATTTCAGGGTTATGTTAAGTATTTATTATTTTTACCCACTTTTTATTTTTTTTTATTTTTTTCCTGGTCCAGGTCAGTTTAATGATTATAGTTTTTAAAACCAAAAAGTAGATTTTATTGTTTTTAAATTCATTTAGTTAATTTTTCCACTTAGTTTGTTATTTTCGATCAATTCTTTTACGTATTCAATTTTTTGGTTTCTTTAAACATTTCTAATTATAAAAATATGGAAAGATCAAGTTATTACCCTTTAATTTAATAATTATTAAGGAATCTTAGAAAAAATATCTTCTAATAACCAATTCATTGATTTTTGTTTAGGAGGGCAAAATCATTTTCAATTCACAGTGTTGTGAAATAAATAATAAGATTAGAAGATAATATATATATATATATATATATATATTAATCTATATAATGAATTTTATTTTAAGAGCTTATTTAATAATTTGACAGTGTAGTTATATTTATTTTGCAATTAATATTTTGTGTTAAAATACTTGTTAATAATTTTTTTATTTTTTAAAAATTATTTTGATATAAATATATTAAAATAATTTAAAAATATATTAATTTAAAATAGATAAAAATTTAAAAAAACTTTTAAAACTTTTTAAAATATTTTTAAAATATAAAAATAACCACCTCCAACGCACCGGGATTCGGCAGGGACGAAGCCAATAGATTTTACCTCAAATTCCTCCTCCTCCTTTTTTTTTTTTTTTTTTTTATTTTTTATGTAAGCATTTTGTTTCTCTGCTTTGAAGCCATACGGCATCAAACCAAACCCCAACGTACCACTAACTCATTGATCGTTCACCCATGCTTCGCCCATCATAATCAGACCCCACAAGCTGACCCCGAGCTCTGATGTCTTTACCGGCACCGGCTAATCCAAGTCACCTTTCAAATAAATGAAAAGGTAAACTACAAGAAACCCATCTAACTATCATAGCTGTTCCAATTAGGCCCTCTTCTGATTATTGTATTGTAATTGATGCAACATCAAGCATCAAATAGTTATTTTCTTGATTTTTGATTTATATTTCTTATCATAATAACATTAATCAGATTTAATGTTTTACATCTTCAAGTATTATATTTATACAAAAATTTATACACATTGGCTTTAATTTATATTTTTTTTAAATTATATATACATGACAGCACCAATGAAATGAAAAGCTAAGATTTCACCATTACAATACATTGATGGTGCAATTGAAAGCTATTGGAGGTGAGAAGGACTAAACTAAAACAAGTTTGATAGTCAGAGGGCTTAGATACACCTTTTCTTCAGTAAAGAAAAAAATACAAGAAAGAAATAAAAGGCAACCTCTCCTTTTCCCCTAGTTTTTCTCTCTCTGTCCCCGGCTTACATTTTGACAGCAAGCTGCTCTCTTTAGAGAGAGAAACTGCCTTTGTGTGTGACTTTCTACAGAGAGAAAGATAAATCAGCAAGAGCCATGGATTCTTCAAAAGATCGCGAGAACTTCGTCTACGTCGCCAAGCTCGCCGAGCAAGCTGAACGCTACGACGGTGAGTTCCTCTATATCTCTCTAGATGTGTTTACATGCGTCTTTGTGCTTTATCTCTCTAGATCTGTGCTTTCATGCTCAGTTTTTGCTCATTATAGACTCAAAGTCACATGATCGATCGCAGATTTATGGATTATATTAACTTGTTTAAACTACATTTTATGCTTATTATCTTTGCTTTGAAATAATTATTGAAAATAATTCTTGTCTGTTTTTTTTTGGGATATTAAAAGTTAATTACGTTTAATTAATGTTACGGATTTTAATTACTTTTGACTGATTTCATTTTTTTTTGCTAGCAAGTAATTTGATGAGGATTTGTTTTCTTAATTTCTTTCTTATTTTATCTGATAATGTAGGTTTTTTCGTTTTAAATTTTTAGGATCTTGCCAAAAAAGAAAATAATAATAATAATTGCTGATGTAGCAGTTATTTTTTTTTATTGATGATTACGTAAACCGTGAAGTAAAATAGAAATGAAATTATTCCTGAGCGTCGAAATTAATTTAGAGTTGAAATTAAAAAAGAAAGAGAGAAAGAAATTTATGATGTGGATGTTTTCTTTGGAAGTTGTTAGAACTTGGAATGCTGATGGTTTATGTGATGGTATGTAGAAATGGTGGATGCGATGAAGAAAGTAGCAAAGCTTGATGTTGAACTAACGGTGGAGGAGAGAAACTTACTCTCTGTGGGCTACAAGAATGTGATCGGTGCGAGAAGGGCGTCGTGGAGAATCTTGTCATCTATTGAGCAGAAGGAGGAATCAAAAGGTAATGAGACGAATGTGAAGAGGATCAAGGAGTATAGGCAGAAGGTGGAAGCAGAGTTAACAGGCATTTGCCATGATATCATGACAGTGATTGATGAGCATCTTATTCCATCATGTACAGCCGGGGAATCTACTGTGTTTTACTACAAGATGTGAGGGTGTTTTTGTTTGTGGTTTTATTATGAATTTGCTTATGTGGATGTAGTGGGTTTTAATTAGTCATGTGAATTTTATGAAGGGTTTTGGGTTTGGTGCAGGAAAGGTGATTATTACCGGTATCTAGCAGAGTTCAAGAGTGGTAATGAGAGGAAAGAGGCAGCTGATCAGTCACTTAAGGCATATGAGGTATGTATGTCTATTTTTTGTCTTGTTCATTGATGCAATGGGTAAATTCTAGGGCTTTAAGCCTTGACTTGCTTTAAGCACGTCCTACTAAAGTGATATGAATAGAAGAAAATCGAAGCCTGGTTTCCACTCATCTGCACTAAACTGATTCAGAGATAGTTCTTTCCTCCAGTCATTTGCACTCACTGTTGCTGTTTGGATTAATAGGAATCAGAAGCATGTGCTCAATCATGAAAGGTGAATTTTCATTTGAACCTGTTTTTGAAAACCCCGAGTGTTTACCAACATTTTTCAACACATTTTCTTTCTGTTTAGTTGGTTCTTAGAAGGAGAAAGGTACTGGAACTTGCATTCCTGAAGTTTGTAAGGTTACTGTAACATCCTCCTTTACTGTTAAATTGGCCAGGGATTGCTTTAACTTGCATAAAGCATTGCACATCTGTTTTTTGGTGTTTTAAATTAGCAGAGCCCTGCTTGGCATCTAACAAGGCTTGTTGCCTCTCTATAGATACTCTTCATCTGCTTTTTCCCACAGGAGCATTCTTTGGTTATGGCCTTTTGATCTTCTGCCAATTTTCTACGGCATTATTTTTTTCATTGAATCTGCTATATTTACCGTTGTTTTCCTTTTATTTTTCTGGATAAGATTGCCTATATGAACAATTAGTTCTGCATGTTTGCTGGTTCTTGCAGACTGCTACAACAACTGCAGCCAGTGATCTTTCTCCCACCCATCCCATTCGACTGGGCCTGGCTCTTAATTTCTCTGTGTTCTATTATGAGATTATGAACTCTCCTGAACGGTATGCAGAATGTGATTCACTTATATGGGGGAAAAGCCTTAAACTTATATTTTTATAGATATAATTTCTTATTGCATTCTTGGGGTCTATTAGGGCCTGCCATCTTGCAAAGCAAGCATTTGATGAAGCTATTTCAGAGCTGGATACCCTGAGTGAAGAGTCTTACAAGGATAGCACTTTGATTATGCAACTGTTGAGGGACAACCTCACTCTGTGGACTTCTGATATTCCTGAGGATGGAGGTATCTATAGATTTTATTCTTAAAAGTTCCTTAGGGCTCAGCTTTCATTTATTTTATGAAGAATCATGTTAATCTGTCCTCTATATTAATGGGCATAAAGTCTGAGATGTAGTGAAATCCCATTCTCTTTAGACCCTTTCTCCAGAACAATAAAATAAATAAATGACAAAATTAATGCATTTGACTTTGTATCATTACAAGGTTTGCGTATCCTGTAAGTGCTGTGATCATTGCAAGAACCATTCATGATTTCTTGCTTTTACTGGGGAGCTGTTGGGTACTTTGGTTTACTAGTATCTTACTGAATGGAATGAGCAAGCAAAATTGAAAAGTGATGGCCCATTGACGAAGTAAAATCTATATGCATTTGGTTATTTGACTTCACAAGTACAGAATGTGCCAGATTCTCAGTAAGCAACCATAGTGGTTGTGCAGTATTTTTAACGGACATCTTTAACCTTTGCCTGTTCTGCACGTATGATTCTAGATATTTGCATGTTGTTAAGCTTTAAGTGGACAATTGACCTGTTGTTTGAGTTTTTATTTTGACAGAAGACCAGAAGATGGAAACCTCTGCCAGAACCGGTGAGGGTGAGGATGCCGAGGTGGGTCCTTTGCCTATTGTCCATTCTTCAAATCATTCATTTATTTAGATTTGCAGATTTATGAACATCAGCTGAATTATTTCTTTATGCAGTGACGGTGCTAATAGAACCATCTGGTCCTTGAAAGCGTGAATGGGAGTAGGATGATTTCCCCTAGTGTTGTGCTATTGCTTTATTTCAAGAGGATTTTTGTAGTACCTTATCTCAGTTGGTGTTGATCCCTGTTTCAGTCAACTATGTATTAGCAGAAATATTTGTTGGGTTGTGATATTGGTAGCCAACGATTTTTGCTGCTTTTTCAAATTTCTTGGATCCAATTATTTTTCAACTGTTAATTCGGCTTTCCCCCCATACAATTTGACCCAACTTCAAAATTAACGATGTTGTACTGTCGTTTTGATTTCCTGGAAATGATCCTCATAATCTTATATACGATCTAAAATCAAAATCTATAGGCTATAAGAACCTCTCCTCTCGATGGTCTTCCTCTCCTCTCTTATTTCTCTGCAACCTTAGTTTCTCATCTTTCTCCAGTTTCTTCTCACGGAGGAATTGGGCAACGCCCTGGTAGGAGTCAGGGCTCTCCGTTAGCTCTCGTACAATTTCTGCATGGGTGACTTCAACCGTCTCTAGAATCCCCTGAATCTCTTTTAAGAGCTTCAAGTCATAGAAACAGAAATATCTGCCTGCTAATTGCTTGAATGCAGGAAGGGTACAGTATGGCATGTGAACATGCATGTCCATGCGACCAGGAACTAGCAAATCTGGGTCGAGCATCTCTTTCTTGCTAGTTGTGACAACAATGATGAGTTCATTGATGCGAGGCAGCCACAGTCCATCAATAAACTGCAGTAGCCTTAAGAGCATAGCCTGTTGATAAAAACACAATACGTCCGAGACATAAGAAACGGTGTCGTGAAGCAAATTGTTTTTCATTGCGTGTGTGTGTGTGTGTGAGCTCTAATCTTTCAGATATGTAGACAACAAAGTTATAACAACCTGTTTTTGAACCTCGCGTGTGTGAGCTCTAATCTTTCAGATATGCAGATAATAAAGTTATAACAACCTGTTTTTGAACCTCAACCACTTTCCTTGGCTCAAATCTCCGCCTCCGGTATGATACTGTGACAGTGGAATCAATATCCTTGATGACAAGTATAGTTTTGTCTAAATAGTGAAGCAACACGGACCTAATATCATAACTTGTAAGGAAATTATGTTCCTGTAGATCCAAGTCATGGATATTGTAGTTCAAGTGATTAGCCATGGCAGCGATCAAGCTCGACTTTCCTGTTCGAGGAGGACCGTGTATCAGGTATCCACGTTTCCGAGCTTTCCCGATTTTTCTGTAATATTCCTTTGACTTCACGAAGGTGTTCAGGTCAGCAATTATTTCTTCCTTGAGCTTCTCATCCATTGCAATGGTCTCAAAGGTCATTGGATGATCTATTTTGGTTGATGTTAACCAAGATAAACCTCCAAGACTGTTGAGCTGTCTTACCTTGTTTTCCTCTTGAATGGCCTTCGCCTGCTGTAAAATGAACGGCAGGTAAGAGCTCAGGACCTCCTCTGTGTTTCCTGTGAAAAACCAGCTCGTAGGATCTTAGTCGTGCTACTAAGGTGTAATTTCTAACTTCAGAGTTTTCTCTAATTACCATCCTCCACTTTACCTCAATATTTTCAAAAACATCAAGAACTTCTTGGTCTCTGTCCAGGGAAATCACTGGTTTTTTCTCTTTCTCCTTCTTGCATGCCTTTATTCTTCGAATTGATGGGGCCGATTTAGTTCCCAGATAAGTCTCGGCAGCCAAAAACAACTCATCACAGTAGTTATCCGGTCCATATTCTTCTATAACAAGAGTGAATTGTGGACGGAAAAGATGAGCAAATATGCGAAGATTGGCAGCTGTTGGAATCAGTACTGCTGAAGCTGCAAGAGAAGCTACCACAGAAAGAACTGTTTTTGTATTTGGCAAGTTCTGGAGAGACACCAATCTTGAGACTTGTTAATGCAAGGTTGGTTATCAAATAAACGATTATGATGAAGCTAGTGAAGGAAGCTCTGTAAATGATACCTAAAGTTCCATTAAGAAACTAGAGAGAAATGTGATCAAGGTGTCTTCAGTGAGGTTTATGGTGCAAATTAAAGCCAATAAAAAGAAAGAAAAATGCCCAGAGGACTATTCTATCACTCCTTTGTATTGGTCATGGCTTGCACAGGAAATGCTTGTAGAAGAACGTGCACTGACATTTTTGAATGGATTACCTCAACAGTTTACCTTTAAGACTATTCTGGTTGAAGAGTCTTTTAATTTACTATTGAAATTGTGTCACATAGTTTTTTTAATAATTTTTTATTTAAAAATATATTAAAATATTTTTTTAATTTTTAGCATCCATCCATTAAAATCATCAAATAAATAAATAAACTTAATACAATATTAAAAAAATACTTTAAAAAAAATCTAAAAAAATATATAAAAAAACACTTTCAAACACACCAATAGCCTGCGAAGCTTCAAGCCTTCTGAATGCTTTTTACTTTTATGCAGCAACGCACTTTGTCAACCGTTGATTCCAGAAAGCATCCTTGAACATGTCAAATTTCACAGGTTGTATAAAAATCAACTTTGTTGCAAAAATCAAGGAAAGAGTGCGGCAACTTCTCATTATTTTATTTTTTAAAAAAAAAAGTGAAGGAGAAATTAATGGAGCACACGATTATTATTATTTATTGAAATAGTAATATGATGATAATGACATTGACTCAAAATAAAATTTTAATCTATATGTTAGAGGTGAAACGATTTTTTTATCTTGATATTACATAAGATTCAATTTATCATTTCATTTTTATTTTGCATAATAAAAATACAAATTTAACTTTAGAATAAAAAAACACAAATAATTTGATTTTTTATTTTATTCAAAATAGTACAATCACTTTAATATTTTTTAAAAAAAAAAACAAAATCAACTTAATTCTTTCACAAGGTTTTTTAATTATTTTATATTAAATTTATTATAAAATTATTTAAATTTTGCTTTTTATAATTGTTACATATTAAATACATTTACCTACATATTTTAAATGCTTCATTTGGTTAAGAGGCTTTAGTAACATTTCATTGGTTGTTGATAATGGTTTTTTAATTCTTTGATTAATTGTTTTAAAATCATGATGAGTAGGTTGCCTCATGATATGGTTCATCTAGTGAGTTGATTTGATCAATCTAAAATTTATATTGATTTGATTTGAAAACAAATTAAAAAAAAAAAGATTTAACAATTCTGAGCAAAGACCTAGAATCGAATCACTTAGTAATCTAACAACCTTGAGTTTAATTTAAGTCAAAACTTGGTCATCATACATTGATTTTTTTTAAAAAAAATAATTTATCAAAACCATATCATTTTGATTTACATTCTAAAAAGTAATTGTTTTATTGATTTAAATTAACTCTCATAACTTATAATTTAAACATTATCTAGATGATGTGTTAAAATTATACTTGAATTCTTTGCAAAAAAAATAAAAATTTTTGACCTAAATCTCGAGGTGGTATATGGATCAAGATTAAAAATGAGAATTAAATTTTAAAAGATTAGAGGAAAAAAATATTGAAAGTAAAAAGTGTGGTTACTAATTGTTCAACCTAAAAGATTTTTTTTTTTTAAACTAGAGAACTTTAAAAACTTAATTTAAAAAAATAAGGTTCTTGTAAACTTATTTTTAAAACTAAGCTACTATATGCTATGTAAGCAACACAATATCATTATATAGTATAGTTTCTCTTTTAAAAAATAATATAACAAAACTCAAATTAAATCCAAAGTCCCATTCCAAATAGAATTGTTAAAAGGAACCTAATTCAATAAAATCTCTCCCCCCAAGTTATTGTTTATTGAAAAAGAAATATTTTTTTATTATTATTACTTCATTTCCATGTCATCTCAATATATTGTATATATTATTTAATGCATATGTAACAAGAAAATACCTTATTTTAAAAAATAAGTTTATAACTACCCTACATTTAGGGAAAATCTCTAGGTTTAAGATTTTTAAAATAAGGTAATTTTAAAACTTATTTCTCTAAACAATGTATTTTAAAACTTAATTTATCAAAATAACATAATGCAAGTTCTCCACCCTCTCTCAACCATATATTTTGTAACATTACTGAAAGAGAAGGGAACCTCATCACTTAGCTAAGCCTTCATTCATTGTATATGGAATACGGCGGTGGCTCGGACTCTATATCCTTCATTTTTATAAATAAAAGATGAAATGATGTTGTTAAAGATTCAATTCTATCTGTTTAACTTGTCAAGTGAGGTATTAAGATATGATATATATTATTTTTAAATATACCTTCTCAAATAAAAAAAATTTTGCCTTGAAAATTGCACAGGTAATTAGTACTTAAAAATGTATTTTTACTAAGGTTTTATATCATCATTTTGCACTTTAAATATCAATAACTCCTTCACTAAAGCATGTTTTTATAATAACAAGTCTAAAGTTATAAGATACCTTTAATTTATAGTAAATGTTCATCTTAAATGCAGGTCTATCATATAAATCAAAGAATTGATTGATGAGTTTACTGACTGAAATGTAGAAGACAGAGAGAGAGTTAAGCCTAGAAAAGAGAGGTTGGCTCAATCTAAACTAGAACATTGTTTAGTTATTGAGTCATATCTAGAGTTGTAGATCATAGATTTTAATTTGGTTTACATGACTAGAATGTTAAGACATAGACTTAAAACATTCATAGATGTCTAAAACTCAATCCTGCTGTTTGAAAGTTCAAATCTTAGCAACAACGAAAAAGACAGAATCTATCTTACAGCTTGGACACTGTTTAGTGTTCAACCTATATGTCGAGTTCTAGAAATCCAAATGTACTAAATTTTTTTTATTGGAAAACTAAGATAATTTTCTAAAACTTTCATGGGGACAATCTGTTTAAATTCTAACGTTAGCAATAATATTTTGTTCAGACAAAAAGATAAGGATTGTCACAAAGTTAAGATGTATTCACCCATTCAACAATTAGTCATCAAATTAATAGTTTTAAATTTTGGCCTATAAAAGCAAGTATTTGTCATGCATTTAGGCATCTTGATTTTCAAATGAAGATCATGTTCTTACTCTCTTTTTATTGTAATGCTTAAATTATGTTTATATTAACTCTTATTTATGCTTTTCATTTCATTTCCTTTACTTAGTTAACTTTTATCTCTTATCTCAAAGTCGTCGTCGTCGTCATTTATAATTTATATAGTTAACCTCCCTGTAGTTCGACCTTGGTCTTGCCAAGATATTTATTACTTTGACACTCCTCCACTTGGGAGAAAACATCGATCTTTTGATCATGTCAACAGGCTCATACTACCTTGTGATTAATTTTTATTACATAAATAGAGATGATAAGATTTGAACTCGTGACCACTTAGTTATCAAGATTCTGATATCATGTCAAAGATGTAAAACTTAATTAATGATTCTATGATACGGAATAAATATGTTTATAATATAATTATAAAACTTAATAACAAGGAAATAGTATCTCCAGCCACTGATGTTCCTCACGTATTTATTGCTCTCTTTTATATATATTTGGCACTTCAAAACTCTACTCACTCTATATAGATAGTGTAAAACTTAAAGGAATTGAGTAAGTGAGTGTGAGGACTAAATAATAACATCTATAGCCAAAGCTTCCATCAAGCTTTAATAGCTATAAGTCCCATATATTTAGTATATCATGGGGTAGTTATAAGTGAACCACTTTAAAAGCTCATAAATATAAAGCTTACAACCTTTAGGTAGACCATTTTAAGAGCTCATAAATATGAAGGTTAAAACCTTTAAAGTGAACCACTTTAATATTTCATAAATGTAAAGAAGAGTTAGAGAGTTGTTTATAATGGCTATATGAGAAACAGTCAACATTCTCCCATTTAATCTATATTTGTAAGTAAATGTTTAATCTTAAACCCATTGATAATCTGTTTTAGTAATAAATATATGAATCATGGGGATATGTCCTTTAATTTATGAGTATTATCTTTTATATATTACTATGTATTTATTTCTTTAAACATTATAATTTTTGTGGCAATAAATTTTTAATGAATAAACCATATGTTTATTCTTGGTCTAACACAAATGAATTTTTCTCAAAATTAAATTAAAGTTCACATCAATATAAGAAGAATATCAAAATAGTTAGGAAAATAACATTGTTCAAACAATGAAAAATTACATAATGGAACTAAGTCTCATATCCACTACATGATCCTTAAATATCAACGGTGGCATGCCTTTAGTCAAAGGATTATCGATCATTAATTCAGTGCTGATGTGCTTAATGACCACTTTCTTTTCTTTAATACATTCTCTTATAGCTAAATACTTAATGTCGATGTGTTTACTTTGACTTTCACTTTTATTGTCCTTAGTAGCTATAAAAACAGCAACTTAATTATCGCAAAACATTCTCAATGGCCTATGTATATAATCTATAATTCTAAACCTAGAAACGAAACTCTTAAGTCATACACCATGTGAAGCAACCTCAAAATAAAGGACAAATTTGGCTTCCATAGTGGAAGTGGCAATCAAAGACTGCTCAACACTCTTCTATGATATAGCTCCACCAGTCATCAAAAATATATATCTTGATGTTGATTTGCATGAATTAATACAGCTAGTAAAGTCAGAATCTAAGTAACCAATTACTTCCAGATTATCCATTCATCTATACATAAGTATATAGTCTTTGGCTCCTTGTAGGTACCTTATCACTTTTTTCGTATCTCTCTAATGATCAAAATCTAAATTACTCTAATATCGTCTTAACATTTCCAAAACAAATGCAATGTCAGGTCTTGTACAGACTTGAGTATATCTAAGGCTTCTGACAGTAAAAGCATATGAAATTTTCTTCATTTGTTCCCTTTCAATATCGTTCTTCGGACATTGATTCAAACTGAATCTATTACTCTTTATAATAGGAGCTACACTTGGATAACAATCTTTCATTCAAAATCTTTTTAAAACTTTATTAATATAGGTTTCCTGAGACAAACCCAAGATACCTCAAAATTTATATCTATAGATTTTAATGTCAATAATATCGAATGCCTC